TCTTCCAAAGTAAACTTACAGAAACGCCTTCTAACAGACTCCACTATTTCCACTAACCACTTGGCTGATTTCTTTTCCACGATACTAGTCACCTAACATATTGCTGTTACACTTTTTATGGCAGCACATAGATTATTTCGACTGACTGTTTTGTGAAAATTAGGGTTAACTTCAATACAAATTTTGGTGAGTAGCAAGATCAGTCGTAGAATAAATGAGAATAAAAGACAATTCAAAGAAGAAAATTTTCTTTATGGACGAAATCATCTTCAGAGGCTGTACACTCGTATTTACATTAACTGAAAATGTATAGTGGTTAATTAGTGAGTAATAGGGGGGTGACGTAATTGACACAATTACTCGGAAGTCACTTAGAAGTAAAAAATAAAGATTATAAATAGCGTGTTACTTAATAACGGCACAAAAGTAAGAAAGCGTTTAAGATTTGATAAGGTTAAAATTCTGAAAAGCTGTACAATCGCATTTATATAGATTAGTTTACATGGATACAATTATTATTATTTGTTTAATTCCACATAGTAACGAAGCTGATAATAATTTTCAACTTGATATGAAAGTTTGAAGGTACGAATATAGATTACAAGGGGCTTAGAGACAAGATCGCATAGGATTGATTAGAAAACAGTTAGAACGTATGCAAAATTAATATTTGATAACTGGAGAAATAATTTTTAAGGCGAATCAAAGGTGATAATTGTTTTCAACTTGATGTGAATTACAAGAGGCTTAAAGACGCTGGGATAGAATGAATTACAGGTGTGAACAAAATGAGCATGGAAACAAAATGAAATCAAAATTTTCGACTTGAAATGTTAGTTAGTTAGTTAGTTATCACCTTCGTTACTATGTGGAATTAAACAAGTAATAATAATTGTATCCATATAAACTAATCTATATAAATGCGATTGTACAGCTGCTTTTGAGAATGAAATCACCGAAAAGTTTGGCCATCTTTGCTGAACTTCTTGTTCTTTTCAATCTAATGTTCCAATGGGTATTTTCCACGAACTTAAAAATGTTAAAATTGTTATTGAATGAGAAAAAGGTTACTTGAGTGTCCATTTAACAAGTATGAAGAGGGTGACGAAACGTACAAAAGGGACATGTAGGCGTGATAATACTGAAGATCAGATCACTGAGGAAAGCCTTCCTTTCGACTGAGCTACAAATGAACAACCTAGCATTATCATTATTGCTATTATAAATACCTAGTTAAGAATGGTGCCAGTGAAGATGAACTTTGTCACTCTTTGGAGTGGTCGTCAGTTAGGCTTTACATTCGTGAATATATAAGAATAACGGGTGATTAAGTTCCAGAACTGTGTTCCATAGAAGGTAAGAATACAGCGAGTAACTAATGATTACCATGGTCAACACTAACTTATAAAATCCTTCTTCTGGATTTATAGCAGTGGCTTGGACTCAGTTATACTCAAATGTTTAAACCCCACTTCCTTTGTGAGACTTTAAAAGATTTCTCAAGTGGAACTCAGTGTTTTTTGACTGGACAGTATTTTTAATTTTTATCTTTATTATTTATTGTTCCCTTGACTTGCGAGTGGAATATGTGGGTGGCTTCAGCAGCGCTTCTCCACTCTGTCCTGTTCTGTGAGGTCCTCTTCATCTGACCACACGATTCTCTATAGGCTGTCACCTCCCCCTCCTCCTCCTCTCTCAATCTGCTAAACTCACCTTCAGACCCGGACCTAACTCGCTGTTTCCCAATTGGGTTCCACGCAGGCGATGGCCTGTCACGCCGATGTCACTCAACGGTCCGTCTAGAGTGTGTCCGATCCACCTCTACCTTCTTCGACATATTTGTTGAGGATTAACTTGTCGACTGGTTCGTTCCCAGAGTTTCTTATTGATGATTATTTCCATCGGCCATCTGATAGCAGCTGTTGATAGCTGTTGAAGTCTGCAGTTGTCTCTCAAATTTACTCCTTTGATAGTGATCGGTGATTATTGTTGTGGACTTTGATTGGTTGTCTTCATCACATCTGTCTTCTCTATGTTCACCTGAAATCCACTGATCTTCGCTGCTTGCTTCTTCTACCAGTTTGTTGCTTTTTACCAGTAAGCTTTTCAATTTGTCTGACTTTAGATATGAAGTATTTGCAAGGCGCAGATCCTCTAGAGTCTTCGGGCATCTTGAACTTGTTCCTGCCTTTTTTGATGTGGTTGGTTTCTCTGAGCTGGATGGTTAATTTGTGAAGCTTTCATCACCCTACTGGGTGACATCTTCCTTCAGCCCATACTTCAGTTTCAATTGAAGTGAGCTTTTGGATTTCTCCACGAGTTCACCATTAATCATCTCTCCTGGTCAGTGATTGACCTGACACGTGATTGGTTGTTTTTGTGTGTTCTCACACCTTCTAGGCTACTTGTATTGTAGTGAAACTGATTGTTTCTTTGACTTGAACTTTGACCCCTTGTGTGTGTGTGTGTGAAGTTTCTTTCTTGTCGGCTGATAAATTTTGTCTATCTCGATGTGTCTATTGATTGATGATTGACTGGAATGCCAGCCAAGCTTCTAAAAATTCTCTAGCATTCTTGGTGTTGTTTCCTCTGTCTAATATTTGAACGCCAGTTTTCCCAGTCGAATTGATGTCTGTGGTTGTCTGTCTGACTGTGTAGTGATATGAGGGAGGGAGTGGATATCATATTATTTTTCGATGGCTAGCTTATGTTCGTGGATACGAAGACGAAGGGTAAGGGTGTCCACCTTGGCCGATGTTGTGTTTTTCGCAGTTGTTACAATCGATTTTGTAGATACTGATGTTGGTTTTACCTTCTTTCGCTGTTGAGTCTGTCTTTTGGTTGACATAGAATTGAGTGAAGCGACTTTGTTGGTTTGTGCACGACGTCACTTCCTCATCAGGGTTTGAAGAGTCTTGTAGTGATTTCTGAGTTATCCTTTATTTATGGTAAGGCGATTTTCTTTGTGCTTTCTTTGGTGGCTTTTGCTTTTATAGGTTGGCTTGGGGTATATGTCTTTTGATGAAATCCCGTGGATATCCATTCTAGTGGAAGACGGCTTCTTCAGTCAATCACGTCCAAGGTCACCGACCAGAAGAGAAGACTAATAAACTCGTGGAGAAATCTAAAAGCTCACTTCAAATTGAAATATCCGCCGAATATGTTGCCTGGTAGGGTGATGAAAGCTTCGCAAATTAACTATCCAGCTCAGAAAACTCAACCACATCAAAATCATCCACTTGAGCTGCAAATCTTCACCATTATATGTATTCCTGTCTTATTTCTTCCCACAGTCCGTTTCTCGCGTAATCCAGCCCATCATAATCAGAAATACCTTTGTTGGTGATAGCGGATAGTGTCGAGACCGTTTGGTACAGAATGAATTCATTCTGTATATCAACTTCAACTGTCTTTTTGTCTATCAATGGTCTAGAAGACATACTCCATTATCATTTACCACTTGCATGTGGATATATATGGTGTCTACGTCGAATATCCGCATTGTGGTGTTTTCTCAGCTGATTTATTATTATTATTTCGCTTTTATTCCAGAAATAGTACTTGTGGTACAGTGTGGAATTTTCAGCACATATCTACAATATTGCATCTAATTTCATCGCACATTTAAAAGAAGTATTACAAAAAAAAAGAAATATAAAAAAACAACAACAAAGACCAAAGGGAAACACAAAAATAACAACAAAAAAATGCCAATAAAAATACCAAGTAGAAAGGAAGATAAACACCAGTAATGAATAATATTTTAGTATTTGGTAGTGGAAGCTATGATATGTGTATGCGTGGAGAACAGTAACAGCTATAATCATACAAGAAGCTATGAGATGTTCTTAAGAATGTTTATAGCCATGATGATCAGTTAATTTGATCGAACAACACTAAACAATCATAAAATAAACATTTCAGGTTGTGTTTTTTTTATTGTCAGCACTAATGTGGTGTTTGTAGTGGTAGTGTGAGGAATCATGCATAATACAACATTTTTAAGATGGTGATAGTGGCGTTTCACAAACGAGATTGTCAGTTCAATAGTGCCGAGCAAAGAACAACCACAAAAAATTAATATTACATGATGGTTAATGACAGGACAATTTTGTAATACTCATAGTGATGATATAGTCGGGACCAGTGGATACCCAAAAGAAGGAATAGAGTAAAGAATAAAAAAGTAAGCCAATGATAATAATTTCAGGTAGCTAAGTATGTTCAAGAAGGTTGTTCACTAAAGAATACAAATAAGAGAGAATAAGGGAGAAATAACAAGGGCCGAAATTATGTTATTAACAACAAAGCAAGTCATAGGTTTCACGCTTCACATTGTCTCTATCACTTAGAACACGGGCCAAATACGGTATCGTTGAGTTCCTATACTTGGTTGTACGAGCATATATTATTTTGTACTGATTTCTGGTTCTACCTGATGAGATGCAGGGAGAGAGTTGGGAATAGAGGGCGTGTTGGTGGTCGCAGAGTATGGTTTTAGACCATTTTTCTCATGTATTCAGATGCTTATCCACTAATGTTGTGACGAGCTGACCAAGTTTTACACCGCTAGTCCTGCTAACTACCTTCAACATCCTTCTCAGGATGGTATAATCCTTTTTCAGTAACCCAGGAAAGACTAACGGGGAACAGTAAAGTAGAATAGGTAGGATACGAGAGTTGACAAATTGTGTAAGCAGAGGTTGAGGGACTCCAGTTAGTCTGAGTTTCTTAATGTAGTAGGTTAGACGAAACACTTTCTTGGAAATCATTTGGATATGAGATGACCATATCCAAATGATTTTGTTTCAGGTTAAGCTTTTATAAACTTATAACAACTGACATGTTTATCTCTGGGGTAAAAAAAATCAATATGGATAGAGCTGTTCCGATGAATAATCTTCACTATTTCTAGATTTCCGGGAAACCTGATATTTCAATTTAACTAAACAGTTATATATATACATATATATATATTTACAGTTGGCTTAAACACTTACGCTTCTTCCATTTTCGCCAGTGGTTGCCATTTCCCGGATTTGATATCATAGAGTTCAACAGTCTGTTCATCAACACCACCAACCACAGCCATTCCCTTTTTAGTTGGACAAATACCGAAACCGAATCGTGGTCTTATCATCGGGGACAACAACTGCCATTTATTGACGCGTGGATCCAACATTTCAACAGATGATAAAATTGGTCCTGCTAAAAGTAGAATATCAAGAAAAACCAATTGAAATACTACCTCAGAATTACTATCTAGATTATTGACAAAAGCGCTTAAAAAGAACAAGTTGTTTTCTGGAATACTGACAAATTGAAATACATACCTGGTCTGAATCATGCTAGACGAAATATTCAGGTATAATAACCCGAAGGTAGATTGCTATGAGTATTGCTATAAACTGCTTTCTGATTCCTGTCGCTCGGAGTTTTAGTGGAGGCGTTTATCATGGGATTAGGTCACTTCACTTCCAATCTTCTTTCTTTTCAGCGCTCAGCACCACCTAGTCAAGGCTTAGAAATGCGTCTGCTGGGAACTTAAACATGCCTACTTGCAGGGACTGATTCTCCAGTAAGAAGTATTACAGAAACATCATAAGGCGAAAAAAGGGGGGTGTGTGTTGGTGTGGAATCAAACTCGAACTACGTGTGCGGCTCGCGAGCATTCAACCATTGAACCACTGATGTGGCACAACACAATTAACCCTGAAAATTCCCGCCATATCCTTCTTAAATAAGTATCTATGTAGAAATAATTACTACTGTGTCAATAAAGAAGTAACTTCAGATGTTCTATTACGTGTAATTTCGGCCTCCTGTACGCAATACCTACCAAGATGAATTTGAGTGAGAGGCAATTTTTTTTTCTCCCTTTACGTTCCCAATGGTGGAACATAGAGCTTCAAGCTAGACGTTTGAAGTTTCGGTAGCAGTGATGCTTTTACTATTTTCTTGTACAGGATGGGGCTGCTAGCCTCATGCCTAACCTTCCCTCTTTACCAGTCTTATTACTGCCTTAGCGGGAGATAAAGGAAAGGGCCAGCCGGGGTTCGAACCCCGGACCACATGCGTGACCGGCGATCGTTCTACGCCGTAACACTAATGCACAGTGAGAGATATTACAAGGACAAAATCCCTTATTGTCCCCTGAGCTGCTTTCTTCACAATATATAATATATCTGTCTACAACAAAATCATTTGCTAAACTTACTCTCAAAATGAGTCGATTAAAACAGTATACGTGCAATTTAGCGAGATAAAAGTTGATAAATTTGGCAAAGGTATGGACATAAGTTATTTCTGCTAAGCTGATCACAGAGTTTCGGTTTTGATAATGAACTGGAATCATTTAGAGAACCGCCAGAGTATCTGGAAGCACTAGAAAGCTGTTTCACCCTAGTTTGGAACTCTTCAACATATTGCGCAACCGCTAGCCAATGCCACAGGCGAGTACCTCTTGTGGCAAGAGCTGGCTGTTAGCGAAAATTGGTGGACAGTAATTTACGTCAATGTTTATGTCCCCAATATTGGTCGTGAGAAAAATGAAAACAAAGACTTTGTGTAGGCGGATACAGTTAACATATAGATGATCTGACATTCAAGAAACAGCCACAAAGAGATGCAAGGTTAACTTTCTGTGAGAAACAACCAATCAGACGACTGTTTTTTTCTGCTAACAATAATCTATAATATGTACATGAAAATCTATAAATACGTGTTGATTTCCTTAATAAACAAACGATCTGTTGCCTGGGCCTTGTCTTCTGTTGTTACACTCTTATGTGACTTCGTAGAATCATCTAGTCACGACTACTCAGAATAACTTCAGGTAACTTCTTGTATACAGCAAGCTGCTAGTGAGCATCGAATGAATTATCAAGTGCTGGTTTGTAGAAATTTAATTGGTTACAAGTATGATCACGGAGTTTTAACCTCAGTGTGTGTGTAATGAGTATGTACAGTACGAAGTATCCGGAGAATTTCTGCAAGCTAAATTTACACTGTTAAAATTCTGGTCACTTGTCTTGTGACCTTGAAAATAATAGCAACATGTTTATTACTCATTCACTTAAAGTTGCCTCTTTTAAATAAACAAAATTCTGGAAACTTAAGTGTTCAGGACTTACCATCATCACCTACACCTCCGACAGCAAATATTAGACCATCACATTCCGTCAGGCAAAACCAGCTTCGGCCAACATTCAACTTTGGTCCTTCTAACCACGATTCTTCCGAAATATCATAAATTTCACCCGATTGTAATGAAGTTTTGGGTCTTCCACCGAAAAGGTATATTCTGTTTTCTAAACTCACTGCACCGAAGCCTTTTCTCATCGATGGCATTTGTTGTAAATTCGGTACAATGAATTGTTTAAGATAGGGGAAAGTAAACGATTCCCTGATAATATCATCGGAGAGAATTTCATCACATTCAACAAATTCTTGTTCATCTAGTGATAGTTGATTAACTGGCAGTGTTAACTGACTAATTTCAAAACATGTTATACTCATTGTGAAACGTTTATCGGATAGTCGACCTCCAAAACATACCAAAGTTGTATCAGAAAGCTAAATTTAATTTAAAGGAGAATAAGTTCACTTTTGAATTCAATTCAGTATGAGAAAGCTCTTCAAAGTGGTAGATATGTGGCATGAGCTACTGACAAGATTTATTAGTAGTATATAAAAAGACGTTCATCAGCACAAAAATAATATCAAAGTGAAGAAATAAACGAACCAGTGTATTGCTGCAAAACACGGGAGACACGAAAGAAGACAAAGAGGCACAATATGGAGGGCAGAAGTGGCACAACAACACGTAAAATGTGTGCAGTTGATGATTTTCATATAAGCAGTACACATTTCACCAATATAGAAATATCAAATTCCAAATAAACATTTCGTTGTCAAGTGTCTTGTCTTTTCTAGGCACATTTGTTGTCACCGCTAGCGGACAATTAAGATGCCATGACATGCTGCTCTCGAAGAAGAGGCCATAAGGAACTTCCTGTGGGACTTCGGTACTGTCGCGGAGTTTGTGGGGGTCAAGGAACCGTAGGTGGTTGTGCCGAAAGACTAGGAAAAGGTGGCGTACAACAGTATGGAGTGGTCAGGTGGTAAAGAGATCTAGAAGGTACTGGTTGAACGATTGGCGCCGAAGTTTGATGGCTCGATGGACGGGCAACTAGCGAAGCATCAGTTCCATTGCGCGAAGCTGGGTTATTCGGAGACTCTTTTTTGTGTTGGAGTTGAAGCAGACAAACCTACTTCGTTGCGCACTCGCCATTGACTACACAGTTCATCGAGAATGTTCCAGAACACATTTCTCGACAACCACAACTGGTTATTTCTGCACAACCATGAATATTGGTGAGCTAGCAAAGGTGACCAGATAGCTACTGAGCACCATTAAGCTTAATGGTATATGAGCTCGCCTTGTAACCAGAAGGTCATGGGTTCGAATCCCGGTGGACGCATACTGTTGAAGAGTCCGAAACTAGGATGAAACAGTTGTCCATTACTACTAGGTTTTCCAATGGTTCTCTAACTAATGTCAGCTAATGATATCCATATAACAACACTTGTGGAATCCAGATCTTCTAGAGCCTTCTCATCGGTGGTCCCACGTACTCCTGTCTCCTCTCTCCCAAAAAACAGTCTGACACATGATTAAGAATATCACCGATTATAAGAAACAGCCTTATCTTACTCCTGTGTTCGCTTCGAACACCTCAGTGAGTTCTCCTTTGTGGATCAGCTGACACGTGCCATTGTGCGTCGGTGGCACAGTGGTAAGGACTCTCACCGACCATGCACATGGTCTGAGGTTCGATCCCCTGCCGATGCACACCTGATACCTATGGTCAGTCTGAAAAATGTCGACTACCGATATCCACACTGAAAATTCCATACTTGTACCAAAAATACAGTGTGAAATCAAGCTGTAACCAAAAATAAAATAATATACATACAGCCAACTGCTGAATGACGCTGATAAAGACTTGGGCATTGCACGCTATAGTCTTGAAGTAGTTTCCAAGTTACTTCTCGGTCAATGCTGTCTGTCAAAGGCCTTTCTGAATTCACTGGAGCTGAGGTAGGGAGAAGTTTGACTGCCATTCTATGCTTCGTTCTATGATGACGCTGGGTAGAGTTACAATTTGATAAGCACATGATTTGCTGTTCGTAAATCCAGCCTGTTATATGCTGGTGGAGTTCTGTATTCAGTGCATCTTTTATTCTCTCCAGGATGATGAGACCAAGTATTTTATTGGGTGTGAACAAGAGCATTATTCCAAACCGTGAGTTCTTTCAGAGGCCTAGGTCGCCCTTTTTTGGCAGCTTCACTGGGTAGCCTTCCTTCCAGTCGGCATGTACCTTTCCTTCTTCCCAAACCTTTTGCAGTAATGGCGTGAGCATATCTATCACAGTCTCTGGATCCGTTTTCACTGCTTCGGGGTTAATTCCATCTTGTTGTGTTGCCTTCCCGGATTTCAGTATCTTGATCACATTCCAGATTTCCGCTTTCGTTGGAGGGTTGGTGTCCACTGGCAGGCAGTTCTGTGTATGTGTGCTGTTGGTGGTGTATTTCTGGGCGAGTTACAGGTGATGGTGGCTCCAAGAATCCTCTGAAGTGATCAGTCCATTATTTTATTTATTCCTCCTCCTTGGTGATCAAGTTCTCTTGAACATCTCTCATTGGTTTCGTCATCTGGGTCGATCTCTTCCCGGATATAGACCCAGTCGTTCGATATAATATTCTGAAGTCTCTTTTTCTTGCGGCCTGCCCACTCTGCTTCAGTGGCCGGCCGGTGTGTCGCAGAATTTTCTTTTTTGTCTTTTCTAGCACTCTTCTTCACTTCTTTATTCTTTGCAGACGCCTGTAGTTGAAATAATTTTGTCCCTTCAGTTAAGTGGAAGCAGTGACCAGCTTCAAATTTCTCTGGCTCATAATGAATGCTTCTTGTTGTGTTGCCGTTGGTTAAATTATCTTCACCAGTCTCAGCTTACTTCCACTTATTACACTGATCTTCATGTCTACCTGTCTATTTACCATTTGCTCACAAATCTGAATATCCCATTTAAAAATTAAATTGAATGATTCAAGCGAGTTTTCTCGCCAATTTTCTTCATAAAGTAAGCATAACATTTATCTCAAAATTGTTCAGTATTGAATGCACATTTTGTTCGTTTCAGGTTTGTTGTCAGGCAATAGCTTGTCACCATATACTTATCGCTAACACATAAATCTCACCATCAAGTTTGCATTTCTCTCCTTCTATACAATGACTTATTTTTGGTTACAAATTTCACCCCACCCCACCCCACCCCCCTCCTTGTCTAATAATTCATCAGGGAGAAGAGCACAAGAAGTTCAGCAAAGGTCTTCACTCATCAGACAGTCATTATTCATTCATTTGAGAACATCCATCAGTTGCTGTTCAGTCAGTCATGTCCTATTTTTCTCGTTGTCTGGATCACTCCCTGACTTTTGTCTGGACGTGTAGTAATTATTAGATATTCAATGTTTCTCAGTTATTTAAACGGAGGTGGAGGAGGTGTTGGCCTTTAGTTTTTGGGCTGAGGTATGGATTACAGGCAGATGAATACTACTGGCTTGAAATGTAGGGGTTCAGCCTAACAGACTGGCATAACATTGTTTGTTTGACTGATAAGATTCTCGAACTGAACATATATATTTGAAGCTTCCTGTTGTTTAAATTTACACAGCAAAATTTCAGTCCTAAAGAAAAGGCTTCTAATTTTGACTTCAGTGAACTGATGGAGGGACTGACATTCTCTGGGCTTCGATGGATTTACAGCTTTTGTTCGCGTTTGGTTTGACTTTCACAGGCCATTTGTTCAGGATCAAGGTAACACTTTCATTGAACCATTGTCTTTTACTTGGTGGTAGTTCGCAAATGGGAGAAAACCTCTATAATATTTTTGGCTGCTGCTCGTATATTACGCAAACCTAAAGAATCATTGGGGTTTCCAGTGTGATGCAGAAGCGTTTTCGTACTAGGATGAATATGACTTCCCTTCCCCGTCCCCCGCCAGTGCCTTCCAAGAGGTCCAATTTTTCATTTGCTTTGGTAATTTTGGCACAGTAACACAGAAACTCACTGAATTCCTTCACTTTCGATGGTTTCCTGAACTTTTTCAAGTCGTCGTCTGCCGAGTGGTTGCGCCTAAGAATGATACTGTACGCCGGTCTTTTCTTGCAAGAGGCAGGAATAGGTGTGTTCGGTTCATCTGAAAACCAATATATAAATTCGCAGTCAGTGAGTGTATCATTGTGTAAAAGGTTGAGCTTCTTATTCTTTTCTGTCTGGTGTCTCGATGGGTATTTTCCATGATTTAATAATGCATCAACAGTGCAAATGCGGTCCAGCCTTTCAACAATAAATCATTGTCTGACATCCACAACAGTGAATGCAATAGTTCAGCTGTAATCACCTCTATCGGTTAACTGGGAAATTCTCCCACAATAATTGTAATAATAATCTACTGGTGTTAGGGCCATGTTAACTGCATAAAATACAACCGTTAATGAGAGCAGAGAGGATAAACAAGACTAACCATTTCTGTAGTTTTTGTATTTGAACAGGTTTTCAAACTGGATGCAACTCTGGGGGGAGGTGAAGAGTTTAATTCCGCGTCTTTAGGTAGATCCGACTGTAGAAAAAGATAATAAATTATATCGTATATTCTTTACAAAAACTATATAATCTGAAAAAGAAGTTGATTTCGTAAATGATAACACTATAGGCGTTACATACTGTTCAGTTTATAAAATCCATCATTAGTGGAGGAGTAGAATAGACTTCATGTATAACATTAGTAAACAGGAATTGACCGGCTAATTTTGTTTCCAGTCGAATGTAAAGTATGTTGATGTTCCAAGAGAAAAATACTAGCCAACCACGTCTCACGTGGTTCAGAGCTCAATCTTCAGTCGATGCTTTAACGTCTTTGACGTTGCTTAGCCAGCAGTAAGCCGGGTAAAGGCGGAGAGTTAGACGCACACAATCTTTAATTCGCTAAAGTGTTCAAAGGTAATCTTTCCGTGCAAGAATTAATCTAATCATTTGAAAACCTAATGCATACACTGCTACTGCTTATGTCTGCCATAAAAACCTCAGCCTTTTTTACTGATAAAATTGACAGAACTGCATAATAGGTGGGCTTAAGTGATACAGATGACAAATTCATTCATACTGTTTGAATAAATACAAAATTCTGACTTCACCACAATAATAAAATCAGTCAGCATCAATGATAACCAACAAAAATGGTCAGCAAGAGATGGTGATTCAGTGTTATTACACTATAACTATTTTTATTCCCCTGAATTCTGGGTGGAACATACGGCCTCGACACCACATCTAAACTTTGTTGTGCTCTCTGTAGTCCTCTTCATCCAGCCTCACAATTGCTCAACTTGAACCCACGCCCAAATCATTGTTTCTCATTCGGCAACAATGGCCTGACACACAACGCCTCAGTGTATGTCCGATTCATCTTTGTTTTCTTTGGAATAGCTTTTGGTTGGGCGATGGGTGCTTTAGGGATTCGTGACCAGAGTTTCTTGTCGCTTGTTCTCTTTCCACCAGGTATCTGATACTCACTATGGATATAGAGAAGAAAACGGTCGATAAATGTGTGCAGCTGGCTGCTGGAATTGCTTTTCGTACTCGCATACGTCAAGTTTATAACCCACACGAAATTACTGACTGACTTAATGTTGCCGTTGAACATCTGGGTTTTGCTGTGTTTATGCTGAGTAAGGAAGATTTCTAAACTGATTTCAGAGGGCTGAATGCCTCCCCAACCTTTACGACCTTGACTTTGACGTTTTCATTTGTCCCGATTGACAGTGATTGGTACTGGTTACTGTTGGCTGGTTGGTTGGTTGGTTACCCTCATTACCCTTATGTTCACTTGACGTTCTGTCTTCGCTGCTTCTCCAGCCAGTTTGTCGGTTTCCACCTATGGATATTCAAATTTATGTAACACTAGACATATATCGTCCACAAGGTCCAGATCTTCCAAAGTCTTCATACTTCTCCAAAGTATTCATGTCTCCTCGCTTCCTGTGCATAGTCTGATGCATAATCCATCGTCATCGTTGGCGATATTAGTCATCCTTATCCTATTCATATCACCACTTCAAAGGCCTTGCTGAGTTTTCCGTTGTGGATCACCTAACCTATGGCATTGACATAAAGTTGTTGAGCAAGGCTGATAAAGATTTGGGTCACTGCAATCTATGTTGTTGAAGTTGCTTTCAATTGACTTCATATCAATGCTGTCTAAGACCTTTACAAAGTCGATGAAGTTGAGGTAGAGTGACATTTGTTCTGTTCTATGACGATGATGATGGGTGGAGTTGCAATTTGATTTTATGTGACAATTGCTAACGCCTGTTTCAGACAACAGTGCATCACACTGTCATGAAGGAAGAAGAGTTTCTCCGTAAATCAAACGTGTGCTTGCTATTTGTAATCCCAATTTTTCGAATTCAGATTGACTCTGAGAAGTAAAGTCTCCTAATTTCTGCTTCGGTTTATCAAAAAGTTCAAATAGTTGTGTGAGTGTGTATAGCAGGCTGCTTATTGCTGTTGAATACAGGAGCTGACAAAGATTAGAGTGCCGAAGTCAGTCAGGATTGGAAAAGTAAGACAGATCTTCACTACTCTGAAGTTAATGTGGAAGTGTACTACATTGAAAACACAGACAGAATAAGACTTGAATCTTCAACATTATTGATATGATAGCCTTTCTGTACTGCACAGTGAACTAGTCAGTGAATCAGCAAAAGATTTACATCAACACCTGAGGGTCAGATCGCCTGTCCAAAGGGCTGGCTGGCATGAAAGAACACTCTGGAAGCCAAACCAAACAAGAACCTAGCGTACAACGAATATGCGGAACGATGAGGAGGATATTGAGAGAAATCACTCAGCAGGCTATCAAGTGGAATCCATAATGTAAAAAGACGAGTTAGAGGGATGAGTCTAAGGGTGGTATGCAGGATATCGTTTGTACTAACATGTTTTAGTACACAAATTTTGCTTCATATGGTTCTCCGATTGCGTACTAGTCAGTGACTAGTGTAATATGTCTAGTCCTATCTTTGATGCAGACTGAATTCTATCAGTAAAGTTTGCAATGTCACCAGTATACCCCTAGGTGGCTCGCCATCACGGTGCACTGTGAATTGTTAGTATTAGATAGTTGTATCCAATCGGCAGGAAGCCTAGTACTTAGGTTTTGTGTTACTTGTCACTCATCAACAAGGCGTATATACCACCTGCATTACCCACTGCTGCAATCAGAAACGTTACGACTGAGCTATTCAGGCTCGTGACTGACTTCCTGTATGATTGTATTGGACACTTTCATCAGATACTGCCCTGTCACACACGCCTTGCCAGCTAACACAAATCCTAGGTCCAAGGCTTCCTGGCGATTGCCTCCACCCATCTAATATTACTTCTTACCGCACTCAGTATTACTGTAGTTTACTTAAGACAGGGAGAGGAAGCACTCATCTGCCAGATAATAAGCCGCAGGTACACAAACACATGTAGCTTACAAAAAAGTAATATGGGAAGCTCACTAACTTTACGCTCCCATTTAGCGATGGCTGACTGCCGTGACAACTGTCCAAGTTCAATGAGTGCTTTTTTAACACATTGATGAAATATCGCCCATTCAAGATTTTCCAATATTTCAAGTAACTTTTCTGTATCTAACAACTGGAAACGTATTTGTTTAGTTAACTGATCAGCATAACTGTATCGGTTCGTTTGATCATGATTTATCCATGAATGAATGAATTCTATTAGTTTCCATTCATCTTGAATACAGAATTCAGTATGTTTAAGCATTCTAAGAAGTTCGTCCGGTGTAGCATTTAGCATTTCATCTTTCTCCAACATACTACTGGAAAAAATTTAACCAAAGTTGATGCTACTAATAAGAAAATTAAAGAAAGTATAATGTGAAACTATGTAGGATTTTTGTAAATTTAAATATATATACATACCCTGTACATCAGTGATAAATAATTTTGTTCAGATGTAAAATTATATACTGCGAAGGTAGACAGACACAGATCGTACACTTGTCAGTACCACAGGAATTCACTACTTTGCTATTCTTTTGTGATAAAATAAAGGGCGCATTCAAAGCGTATTAAACATTTGTTAAGTGACAGTTTTAAGGGGCATTTATATGTAGAACTCATCTCGCGAAACACTCACTCTGCAACCTGCTTTCAAACCCAGCCAGGGGCATAGGTGAGTGCTGATGAAGTGTTCCAGACTAGGACGAAACAATTGTGTCAAGTAGTTTCTTGTGTCTGCGTTTGTGATTGATTCACAGGGTGGAATCGACACCAGCCACACATGTGGTTCGTGTACTCCCAAGCTCTCACACCCTCTCAAACCTCTTCTAGTTTATACTAGCCAACAGTGGTCCAAGAAAAGTGAAGGCTTGTGGGTGAGGTTAACAAATCCAACACGTAAAAAGGAATAACACCATCGGTGCTGGCTTTTCACAGCTTGAACCCTGAAGTGCCATGTCACACTCAGTATGCACACTGAGTGAAAAACCGAAATGTAAAGTTAGTTTTCAACCTCGATGGTTGATGCTTCAATTTATTTAACGAGACGCCGTTCATCTGAATATTATTTTCTGATGATCAAGCATAGTTTGACTATGCTTGCTCAGCTTAATCATCATATTACAAAGATCTTAGAAATGATCTCAAAGACGTTTTCATAGTTGACTATATACTAGTAATGCAATATTTGAATAAAGCGAGAACAACAGTATGGTTTGTGCAGAATAATATGGTGCCATCATTTATTTCGATGACTGCTCATCAGCTCAGCTGCTTACAGCCTAAATAAATTATGAGGTTTACATACAGAAAAGTTTTAACATACTTGTGAATTTTGCATGTTGTCAGTTGACAGGAAGCTCTACAGTTAGTGAACAGTGCTCAGAAAATTGCGCATTGATAATTGGTAATTTTAAAGGATTTCTTGATTTCCACCTCATGACCCGTGTCGAGGAGATGTCTGGTAAAAGCGGTACTATAAGAGTTTGCTTCCTTGAGACGTAGGCTTTTAGGCAAATATTCAGGAAATTGGAGGTGTGCTCTTCTTTCTGTTCTTCCGCAGATACACGTAAATTTGTATACACGGTTGGAGTTAACATGGTAAGGGTATCTATCGACTTTTGACTGCACCCAAAAAGCATGTTGTTCGATGGATGGGAACCAATTTAGCTGCAGTGTAGTCTCTGGCTAGAAGGGCACACCTCCGATTTTCTGAACATATACCGAAAAGCCCACATCTCAAGGGAACAAACACCTATAATAGTGCAATTACCAGGCATCTCCTTGATACGGGCTCCATAAGGTGGAAATTGCAAAATCCTTCAAATTATCAATAGAGAAAGCAGCTCAATTCTCCTCAAGTTTGCTGAAGCAATTTCTATCGAACGCTTAAAACCAGATTTATGTGTTCAGAAAGAAGCCGTTATTAGTCTTTCCTTGCCTTGGTAATTGGATGTCTTTTTTCTCTCATCTGATTACGTAATCTTTGTCTTTAACCTCACCCCCCTTTTATAATCTGTAATTTTGTTTGTCTCTTGTTTCTATGATTTAAGTTGAACTCAGTACACTGTTACCTAGTTTATTAGTCACTCTGCATCTAACGCATATCTCGTCTTCACCACGTAACTCCTTTACTATTCATTGTATGCATACATTTATTTTGAACTGCCTGTGTAAAAAACTATATAAGCGCAATTCTCTGAGCACTGTTCACTAACTGTAGAGCTTTCTGTCAACTGACAACATGCAAAATTCACAAGTATGTTAAAACTTTTCTGTATGTAAACCTCATAATTTATTTAGGCTGTAAGCAGCTGAGCTGATGAGCATTCATTGAAATAAATGATGGTACCATATTATTCTGCACAAACCATACTGTTGTTCTCGCTTTATTCAAATTCATCAAGGGGGAATAAATGCATAATGCAGTATTTCTGACTTGATGATATCCAGCATTTCGCCAAACTATTCGAATATGTGCCTAAATCCATAGGCTTGATAGAAGAGCTAAAAATTCTGAATATCTCAAATTATCAAATGGCTATAACCAAGCAATAAGACATTCACAGTGAAGAAAACAGTCCTGAAATTACTGCAATAGACAACATACTTGCGAACATTTAAATAACCTCGTAATCAAAGACACTTAACTGACAAGTGGAAATGCTGTTTATATGAAATTTTTGATTAGGTTTCAGAGAGTGTAAAAACTGCAGATATCCACGCATTAATTTAATGCTGACACTCTTCAACAGGTTTGACAGTGATAAGGGTTACATTGGAAGAACGGGAAGAAGAGGACACCATCGGTTTCCTGAACATGTACCAAAACGCTTACATTTCAAGGGAACAAACGCTTACAATAGTGCCACTGCAGGATATCTCATCAACACGGGTCAGGTCATGAGGTGGACACTAAGAAATCCTTGAAAGTTATCAGCAGACAAGATAACTCAATTCTCCTGAAGTTTTCCAAGGCAGTCTCTGTCAAACACCTGAAACCCGATTTGTATGTTAAGAAGGAAACAGTTATGAGTCTTTCCTAGCCCCAACTGATAACTAGATGTCTACACTCTCTTGCATTTGATTACATATTCTTTGGATTTAACCACTCCTCCCCCCCCTCACTTTGATACAGTTTAATTCTGCCCTCCTTCTACTTCCATAATTTGAGCCGGACTCACCTTTTATTGCCACTCAACTGGATTGGTTACTCATCATCATATCCACCGCTTGTCTATACTGCATAACTCCCTCGGCATTGTGTGTGCCAACACTTATTTCTGTTGAAACTTGACCTCTCTAAGCATAAACTATACACAAGTGTGATTCTCTTAGCAGTGTTTATCAGCTCTGAGGTCTTTGGTTAGGTGACATTAAGTAACATTTACAAGTTCCTTAAAATTATTCTGTATATAAACTTAATCCAACCCTTTTTGCTGCACACAGCTGATGACAAGCAAATCAAGGAAATGATCGCACTATTATGTTATTCTCTTGTTCTTGCTTTATTCACGTCAAAATAGAGTTTGAAGCAGCCAGAAAATTATTTTCTTATTGAATCCAAATGCAAAATCAACACTCATGAACACTGAATCAGATAGAGTAGATTGAAGGTTAGTGTATTTGACCTAGAAATTAAATAATTATTAAGGTAAATATTGAAGAAATGCATATATTAGATGGATGATGTTTTAAGCACTATTTATTACTCATAATCATCTATCAATGCATACACAAAACTTCCTAGCATACATTATACAGCCTTACTCTGTGGTTCCATTATAGATAAGATTTTTATTTTGATAAATCGCACAGTGTTTACAGTTATATGAACTGATGACGTTTCGAGCACAATTTATTGCTCATAATCATATCAAGGTAATCACACGACTTCCTAAATTCATTTATATAGTTCCATTGTTTTTCTCTTGATTTTCACTTGATTTGATTGGTAATAGTATTTTCCATATTTCAGGTATGAGTGACGAGTCATTCCTATTGCATGTGTTGGGTGTAGACTCGATGAACAAGGATTCAGTAATCAACCTCTCTCTCCACCTACCTAGATTACTTTTTAGAATTTTAACCCTCTCCCACCCTATTGTGTGGTTGTGTGTTAGCGCATGCATTGCAATTGCTGAGCTTTTTTCTAAATTATTTATCTTCTCGGGGTCAACCATTCTTACCTTAGCTAAATTTTTATGCTCTGACAATCTGACTACCCCTGACCTACTAGTTTGACCTATGTAGTTGACCTCACAGTCATTGCATGGTATTTTGTAAATAATATTATTTTGTCTAATTGGGTCAACTGGGTCCTTTAACCTACAGAGCTTGTCCCTGAGTGAGTTTGTAGGTTTAAATGCCACCCTAATTCCTATTTTATTCAGAATCCTACGTAGTGTCTCAGATGTCCCCTCTTTATATGGTATAACTGTGGATGACTTATATTCTTTCTTATTTATGTTATTATTACTAGTTTCACAATTATTTTTATTTTGTTTTTGGCCTTTAATGATCTTCCTAATGAATTTTATAGGATAGTTATTCAACACCAACGCTTCTTCTATCTGTTTTAATTCATCATTTAGATCTTTTTTTGTGCTACTTAGTGCCACTGCTCGGTTTGTTAAACATTTAACTAAGCCTGCCTTAACAGTTAAAGGATGAGACGAATTAAAGTCTAAATATCTATTAGAATGCGTTGGTTTTCTATAAACACTAGTGTGTAGTTTGCCTTCTTCTATTCTTTTTATCTTACAATCTAACATAGCTAATTCTCCTTGTTCATTTTCTGATTCAAATGTGAATTTTATTCCCTCAACTTGTGAGTTTATATGTGTCAAGAAGCTAGAGATGTGTTCTGTTTTTAACACTGTGAAAGTGTCATCCACATATCTCCACCATATTTTCGGAGTAGGGTTAAATGTATTGAGGGCACTATCTTCCCAGCTGTGTTTATAGAAAACCAACGCATTCTAATAGATATTTAGACTTTAATTCGTCTCATCCTTTAACTGTTAAGGCAGGCTTAGTTAAATGTTTAACAAACCGAGCAGTGGCACTAAGTAGCACAAAAAAAGATCTAAATGATGAATTAAAACAGATAGAAGAAGCGTTGGTGTTGAATAACTATCCTATAAAATTCATTAGGAAGATCATTAAAGGCCAAAAACAAAATAAAAATAATTGTGAAACTAGTAATAATAACATAAATAAGAAAGAATATAAGTCATCCACAGTTATACCATATAAAGAGGGGACATCTGAGACACTACGTAGGATTCTGAATAAAATAGGAATTAGGGTGGCATTTAAACCTACAAACTCACTCAGGGACAAGCTCTGTAGGTTAAAGGACCCAGTTGACCCAATTAGACAAAATAATATTATTTACAAAATACCATGCAATGACTGTGAGGTCAACTACATAGGTCAAACTAGTAGGTCAGGGGTAGTCAGATTGTCAGAGCATAAAATTTAGCTAAGGTAAGAATGGTTGACCCCGAGAAGATAAATAATTTAGAAAAAAGCTCAGCAATTGCAATGCATGCGCTAACACACAACCACACAATAGGGTGGGAGAGGGTTAAAATTCTAAAAAGTAATCTAGGTAGGTGGAGAGAGAGGTTGATTACTGAATCCTTGTTCATCGAGTCTACACCCAACACATGCAATAGGAATGACTCGTCACTCATACCTGAAATATGGAAAATACTATTACCAATCAAATCAAGTGAAAATCAAGAGAAAAACAATGGAACTATATAAATGAATTTAGGAAGTCGTGTGATTACCTTGATATGATTATGAGCAATAAATTGTGCTCGAAACGTCATCAGTTCATATAACTGTAAACACTGTGCGATTTATCAAAATAAAAATCTTATCTATAATGGAATTATACTCTACCACAGTGCCCAAGTTTTATACTTATATCAATAATTACTCTGTGGTGCTACGGAAAATGCAGTGCGTCACACTATTTCGACTGTACCCATATGGGTGTAATTTTGATAAACAAAGTTTCAATGGTTAACGTCTGTCTTCGTCTCCCTCTTCACTTAATTATATTACTTTATAATACTTTAACCTTATCCCATCCTACTGCGTGATCACATGCAGATGGATTCATCACAATGGCTGACCTTTTATTACCAGAGTACTTAATTTAACAAGGTCAATCATTTTAGATCTCACCATGACCTTACATTTGTTAGAGAACCACTGGAAGACCTTAGAATACGTGACGGCTGTTTCATCCTAGTTTAGGACCCTTCGACAGGATGTACACACCTCCAAGGTTCAAAATCAAGACCTTCGGTTAGCAGACGAGCTTTCAAATCATTACGTCACTGAGACTGGATCGAATGGCCCATGAATTCCAATTCACGATATAACGCGACCAACAGTCAGTGTCATCGGCGACGATGGCGAGTATTTGTCCTCATACCCGACCTGCTGTAACCCACTGTTCACAATTTCCCTGGTAATTAGCTACCTGAGAGGGACCAGTCGCTAATGTACATCAGACTAATATTCAGGTATCAGTTTGCAGGTATTTGATTGGCTACAGGATTTCATCATGAGCTGACATTGGTTAGAGATGAAATCCGTTAACAAATCAAATCCCTGAGAACTAACACTTGAACATTTTAGATGTAGTTAAATTCCTGAGTTCTGAAAATTTCGAATTATATTCTACCACAATGCTAAAATTCCATTCATACATTTAATACTACAGCTACCTGTATCCCAATTATGAATGATGGTCATCATTTAGGTGAAGTATATCAGAACACAATTCTATACTGACTGATACGCCACCGATATTGACTAGGTGCATTTTTCATAACCACAACTGGTTATTGTCAAGTTAACTCAAATGTTAACCACACTTACTCAAAATGTTTTGCAGCATATTTAATACATTCATTGACTAATTTATTATCTTCATTACTGTTATTCGTATTAAAATTCTTCATTATAAGTAGACAGTTGTTATCGTTTAGACTGGCCTTCAAATAATCAGTACAGGCGTCTTGAATAAACTGTATCTTCAATAAACTACAGGCATTGAACAGTTCAAGGGCATTTGTATCGTTAATTAATATTTCTAAAATGTGAAATTTAAAGAATTTAGAACATTTTTAAGAAATGAATTAGCAGTAATTTTGTGGTGAGAACTGTCTGCTAGCCAAAATTGGTAGACAGCAATTTACGTCAATGTTTACGTTCCATATCTTGGTCATGAGAAAAAAAACAAGGCTAAAGACCAACCTTGAGAAACTCAACAATCAATCACAGCAGACTTAGCGTGGGCGGATATGATTCGCAGATATATCACTAGACTGTCTAAGAAACGGCAACAAAGAGATGACAGAATAACCTTTAGAAGGAAAACAGCCAATTGGAAGACGTTGTTTCTCTGTTAGCAGTAATGAATAATAATGTTTATAAATTATGAATGCCTTAAATGAATATCGTCATTTGCACAGTTAATGTGCGTTGTCGTGTTACATCTGCTTCTACTTCCTATTGTGCTCCTCTGTCTTTTTTTCGTGTCTCCCATGTTTTACCTCAGTGCACTAGTTGCTTTATTTTACCCTTTGACGTCAAATCTATCTCTCGGCTACTTGAAATTATATTATTATTATTTTTTATATATTACTGATAAATCTTGTCAGTAGCTTATACCACACCACGATCCTACTACGGAATGAAAGCAAAATCTTCCGCCTATTATTATTATTAACTCTGGAATCTCTCACAGAGATTCGGACATGATTTACAGCTAACAGAAAATTTAATGGATAACACCTACCAGTGACGATGTCCAGTTGATCCAGTTGAAAAGTGAGTATTTCTTCGCTCACTCTTTCTGTTTACTAAAAGCTTAATCCATCTTCTACTTTGTTAGATGAACATAACTTCCTAAGCCCTGTCGTATTAGACCAAACTTATGCACAGAGAAGGAGATTGTAATCAGTCTCTCACTCTCTTGATAACCGTATTACTTTCATTACACTGATTAGTCATACACATTAGTGAGTTCAGCTCACTAAGCACATTTTTAAGTGAAGAAGTCTACTGAAATTAGTAATAGGTATAATTACCCGACTTTTAAACACTAATGTTAGATCAGTGATTCTGCCAGGTTCAGAACCAAAATAATTTATCCCCCCTCACTCATAAACTATTAAAGTGCCACATTTCAAATTGTCCAGAGCAGGAAGTTGAGTGAAGCCTTCTGAGTGAAGACAAGACTTCCTACCACACTCATGGTGTTCCCTAGGGAGTGAGAAGACTATAGAAGATCTGTAATTCGTGAACGATTTATGTCTAATATTACACAAAAATGAATATCTGCAGGCAAAAACTAACAAGTTGGGAGAAAAAGAAGCAAAGACTGGACTTCAAATGAACACACAGAAGATAGGGGCGATAAAGATAACCAACCAGCCAACCAACCAACCAATCAAAACAACAAACGACAATCACCATCGCTATCAATAGAAGCTATTTAAAGAAGATCACTTCTCTCAGTGTTATCTAGATATCATCGCTTCAATTACAAACAGTTAGCACTGATAAGGATGTCAAAACCCCAAACGGAAAGATAAAGCAGACCTGCATCACTCTCGAAGTAGTTTGGAACACTCCTCTGCACTCACCATAAAGAACAGAATTCCAACCTTGAACACCAATGTTGAGTTAGTCAGTGCAAGGAAAGCATTTCCGCTAACAGACCACTGAAGACTTTTACCAATACATCTTTGTTCACTCCATACTAAAGAGATGAGATGTGGCCGGTCACAAAGAATGAGCAACAAGAAACACTGTGGGAATGAACCAGACAAGAACCTATCACTCAGATAGAGAGATGTATGGGGTACACATGCTGAGGAGACCGTTGAGTGGCATCTTTTGCCAGATCGTTACTTGAGTGGAACGCTAGTGGATTGGGCATTATCCCGAGTATTACATTCAGAAGAATCTCTGAGAACGAAATGAAAGTTTGTGTTCATTCGTAGTACCAGCCGAAGAAGAAGACGTGCTCTTCAAACTCCATGCTCCACTCCGAACAAAAAAGGGAACAAAATAATAATTATATACTATACAGAAACTGATCATTTTAGCTATTTAACAATAAAATACAAACAAACCTGATTTGTAGATATAATTCACAATCGCCTCCAGTGTATTCGCTGGTATATTGCCTAAATGAAACGAGTTCTTCACCTGTCTGATCTGATGAGACTTATCACTGTCCTGATTAATATCATTCTCGTGGTAATCATCATCGTCATCACTATGAAAGTCGTTCGGATCACTGTCAGTATGATTACTGTCAGAGTTTATACATTCTTCTGAGCAGAGTTGATCAATTGTTGGCGATACAGCACGTAATAAACACCTGTGGACCACTTGACTGTGTGTATCACATTCCAATAGAAAATCACACTCACTTATTTTGTCTCTAAGATATTGAGAGAGAGAAAAAAAACTGTTTTCTCAATTCTCTAGAATTATCAAAGTGAAAAAATAATATTGACGCACTTATTTTAAATGAGCAATGTGACAGGAATGTGTTGTAAGAGTCTACAAATTGTGTAACTGTCTTATTATATCATAGAATTACTTGAATCTGTTTGAAATACACAGAGGTTCTGTAATCTAAATCACGCATACATATACACCCCCACTTGAGCACGCTAAGCGCACATTGACATTGAACTATGCCGTATGCGTTATGCATAATTTCACATAATTTTTGTTAGCTAAAAGTAATGATATCGATTAGTTGGTTTGTTTGTTTGTTTGTTTGTTTTAAAGTGTACACTTTTAAGGCTACTAAGCACTGTCATGAGTTTACCAGTGGTCACCACTAATCACCTCAGAAAAGGAATACAAAAAGAGTAACAGAATTTGAAAGTGGTTATTTCCTTCACTCATCTAGGAAGCATCTTTTTAGCTACAGGCTGTCAGAACTGATGAAGTTGTCAAAGCTAGAATTTAAAAAAAAGGCAGCAACACAGACCATCATTTCTCCAAAATCAGTTTTGAGGTCTACTGCGCTCTCAGCACAAACAACAAGATTGGGATTTTCAACACGAATGTTACCACAGTCACCTCTTATATACATATGCGTAAGAAACTTGGCGTATAAGTCGAGCAAAACACTTCCAACAGGCTAATGCAGACTTCCATCATCAGCGGACTTCACTGGCTTCATAGTGAAGATCAAATTGCCATTAAAAAATAATTAGAAACAAGAAACTATGGGAACAAACTAAGAAAAGAAGCTGTCGGTCAACAGACATGTAATAGAAAATAAGATGGATTGGACACATGCCATTGAGAAGACCGTCGAATGACGAGTGGGTCGTCACACGGCAGCGAAGAGGAGGGCGAGCGATGAGGAGGGCGAGAGTCTATGAGAAATCATGAATCCAGTTAAAGAGGATAGTAAAAAAGAAAAATAGAACAAGGTAGAGGTGTGCTGTTGAGTCTCAGTGTGCCGCTAGGAACCCAAGGGAACAATAATCACCATAACAGAGTAATTGTCCGGAAAATCTGACATTAACCATCTATTTACGATTTTGGTACTTATTTAGATGTTTCAACTAACTTTATAATTATTATCTTCCTTTCTCCTAGATTGTATATCATTGTTCTGATGTTAGCAAAGCATCTGCTGACTTATTCCTTATTATTTGTCTTTTATTTTCTGTTTAATCTCTGATTTTAATGTTACCCTTTTTGTGGTTTTACTATGCGATTTTGTTTGAGTGAAGCTAAAGTCATTCTGATCTTCGACTATCTGTGGGAATTGTTTGGTGTGTATTCTTGCTGACAGAGTTTTGATCGCAGCTTGTTGTTAAAAATAATTTTCTCTTGACTGTCAAGTACTTCTTACGGTTGAATGTTGGTTAGGTAATATAGTTGTCCAATTTGAAGTCAGTGCTACTATACGGATCATAAACTTGGTGCCACGTCACGAAGGGCAGTTCGAACAAACTACAGACCTTCATGAACAGCTGTCTTCACTCAATATTCAAGATCAGATGGCCGTAAAAGACCAGCAATAAGGAACTCTTGAAACAAGCCAACCAAGAACCAAATGTACAACAAATATGCAGGAAGAAATGGAGGTGGATTTGCCATACTCTGAGAAAACCATCAAGTGAGTCACATCACACGTCAGGCCATCGCTTGAGTGGAACTCGAACGGGAAACGGTGAGTCTGGTCGTCAATGCGAGGGTGACATGGAGGAGGTGATGTGAAGAGGAGATAAAAGTATGTGGACAGACGTGGAGCCAGGTGAAAACGTTGGCAGAGAACCATACGTAATGGAGACGTGTGGCTGAAACTGCATATTCCTCTAAGAATTATTAGAAACAATAACAATAATTCTGTTGCACGGTACTTGTTCTGTACTACAGAAAGAATTGGATCTGTATACCTGCTTGCCTAACACCACTGTCGAGGTAATTTTTACTACTGGATATATTATTACTGTTAAAGGGTAGCGTTGATTTCATCTTATTCGGGTTTCACATGATGCACCTGTGGCGTGATTTCCGTGTCAGCGTGTGTTCAACGCATCTCTCCACTTTCTGCCTAATAATTGTGTTAAACGATACGTTCTTGTGCTTGTTGCTTATTCTTTCTGACCGACCATCTCATCTTTAGTAGTATGGGAATGAAGGCAGATGCTGCAGAAAGCAGTCCCTTAAAAACGCTTCCCGGGACACACACGCGCGCGCGCGCCAATTTTCTGAATCATATAGGAAGCAGTCAGTGACTAACTTAACACTAGTGTTGAAAATCCAAATTTTCTTCTTTTTGCAGTGAGTGGACAGGATTTCCAAACTGTGTTTTTGGAGTGATGTAAGTTTGTCTTGACTTTTCGATCCTGGCTGGCTCTGGCATCCTCATCAGTTGAAACGATGATGCCTATGCAGGCTGATAAAAGTGATTTTTTTTTCAAATTTCTCCCATACACAGTGATTGGTTGGTTATCTCTTCATTCCCTCTGTCTTCTGTGTGCTCACTTGAAGTCCTATCTTCTCGGCTTCTTCTCTAAACTTCTTTGTTTTTGCCTGTAAGTCTTCGAAAGAACATATATTTGTTTTATCCTATTCAACAGAAGCTCAGCATGAAGGTGTTACTTTAAGGAGACAGCAAAAAGTAAAATATGATGTCAATAATAGCTTACAGATTTTAAACGAAAAGCAAAAGTTTGCAAGAATATTGAAGAAACTTCAGTGGTCAACTCAATAATGAAAAACCATAACAGATTAACAATATCCAGGGAAAATTGTTTGTTAACTAATGTAGAAGCTTACATTTAGAAGTGATTTCAAGTCGGTCAGATGGTTTAGAATCATTGGATCGTAAAACGACCATAGTTATAAATAACAATAATACTAATACTAACCACTGTTTCTTTCTGTGCACAAAAGTTTGGTTTGAACTGCTTGGTAGCAATTGATTCACTGAATAAGGTATATTACTTTATTATTATCCCCTTGAGTTTTGTATGAGGGGAACATAGAGCTTCAACAGAACATCTTCATTTCACCTTGTTTTCTGTCATCATTTTAGCTGGCTCCACCATCGCCTGTAGGATTTCGTCTCCATGTCACCCTGGGACCTACACCCAACTTGTCGGTCTTTTTCCATTCGGTTTCCACCCAAAGACCATCCTGGTGTGTGTGTAGTCGCTAAATGGTCTCCTCAGCATGTGTCCAATCCATTTGGATTTCCTTCGACATATTTATTTCGATACAGGTTCTTAGTTGGTTAGTGGTCAGGATTCTGTGTCATTTTCCCTTTCTGTCGGGCCATTTGATGTCAAGTATTATGATAGAGAAAGCATCTAATGGGGAAAGTTTACAGTTTGTGTTGAAGGGCTTTTTGTGATGCGCTAAGTCTTCCAACCATGTAGAAGCAGTGGCTTGACACTATTAAAGAAAGTATTGATCGTAAGGTGATTGGCAACAACCAGTTTTTTTCATTCACTTTACACGAAAACCTATTAGAAAACAATGTGAACTGAATAACACCGGACAGGCCTTAAGCTATATAAATCATTACTGATCACATGCCCCAAATTAGACTTGTGGAAAAGGGGAGACGATTAAAACTATCCGAGCGTAAATTATCAATTTAATTAAATTTTAGTTTTCTAGTAGATTGATCACACAGAAGTGTTCGGTCTATGTTGAAATGTTGGCTTCTCATGCGGGTGTTTCATTATATCTGAAGATTTAAATTGAAGTAATTTGATGAATGGTGAATAGCATTGGAATCCAGAATCTGAGACTCGTCAACTGAATCTACCTGAACCCCCCCCCCAGTGAGTAATGATTGTGTCCCCCCTAAGGTTCGAACTCGGTACCCATAGTTTCAAAAGTTAATGTAGTCCGCATAATTTGTCGAAACACCTTTAAAAAAGGGCCGGCATTTCATCGGCCGCCGAACATTTCAGCCCATTCAGTCAACGGGGAAATCAAAACTCAATCAGAAATAAAACAATAACCGGACATAAGAGGCGACCTTGGTGGTCAAGTGGATAATGGGGTTTAAAACGATGAGTTCTTGGTTCGAGTCTCATTGGATAGGCGGGGAACATTATCACTCACTCATTCACTGGGGGATCCAGATACATCCTCTTGTTGACAAGTCCCGAATAGGACAAAATAAGCACCGTGGATTTCATTGCTGGTCACCATTTACCAAATATCTGAGCAAATATTGATACGTTAGATAAATTTGCTTCTCCTTTTAAATGCATGTTAGAGTGTTTTACTTTTAATTATCCGTCTGTTTATCAAATCAAATGATTGAAAATAGCCCTATCGTGGAGGTTTATAGATGAACTTGACAACTAAGACGTACTTTCTCATTATTGGTGAAAATACAACTTAATATTTGATACATCTTGTTGCTTCATACTTTTTTTATGACTCCTTTACGTTCACAAAGGGGGGAACATAGAGCTTTAAGCTAAAGCTTTAAACGTTTCGGTAGCAGTGATGTTTATTTTAACTGGATTGGGTTGCTAGTCTCATGCCGAATCATCCCTCTTTACCAGTCTTATTACTGCCTTAGCGGGGGGTAAAGGAGAGTGTCGGCCGGGGATCAAACCTAGCACCATATGCCTGATCAGTGAGCATTCTACCTCTGTGTCACACCACAATAACTAAAGCATAATTTAACACATTCTGAAAATACTGATTTCAGGCACTGTATATAGTTATAGGTTTCCAGACCGTAGGTGTTACGAACTTCCTGGAATAATTTTAGCGCCGAGTCAGATTGATTCATTATAAATTATTTAGATTAATCCCAGCGTGTTAAGAAAATCAAAACGTTTCGCCGTGTAAGCCACAGCTTCTTCAGCAGATTTATTCGGATTATAATTAATGTATAGTTAGTATATATAGTTAGTAGGATGGATGCAACGTGTT